TAGTCACAGGCTGCGGGCTAATTTTACACTCCTATCAATGTGAATGTTAACATGTCAATGTGAATATTCACATTGTCAACGGGCCGGGCCCCCAACCCGGGCCCGGGCTCGGGCTTTGGGCTGGCCACGGGTCATGGGCCAATTTTACACTCTTGTCAATGTTAATGTTAATGTTAATATGTCAATGTGAATATTCATATTGTGAATGGGCCGGCCCGGGCCCGCCCCGGGCGACGGGCTGGTTTCGGGCCGCCCACGAGCCGCAGGCCAATTTTACACTCCTATCAATGTGAATGTTAATTTGTCAATGTGAATATTCATATTATCAACGGGCCGGGTCGGGCCTATTTTTTTGGCTTGTGGGCCGGCCCGGCTCGACTCGAATTTTTTCGGGCACCCACGAGGATCGACATAAGTCGGGCCCCTACACATTGACGATATAAACATTTATGTTTACGGTGTGAACATTCACATTAAGGGTATTTTGGTAATTATGTCACCCATAGGACTTATTGAAACATAAGAAAATAATGTGAACTAAATGAAACATAAGTAGATGAAAAGGGTATTTTGGTCTTCTTATCTCAAATTGGGCCTAATGGAATATTCAAAAAGAATATGGATTGGATGGAATAAAACTCTTAGAAAATGAATTTATCAAAAAAGCTCCCTTTTTTTTACCATAACGCTTCAAATCCAATCCAATCCGTATTTTACATTTTTTTTTTCTCTAAACAATCAAAAAAATCTACTTATTATCCCAAATACCCTCTAAATCACTTTCTTACACTAAAATATTTTTCCGCATTATTACACCTCTCTCTCTCTCTCTCTCTCTCTCTCTCTCTCCACATCGCCTACTAAAATGCGCCACCTCCAATTCTAATCCAAATGCTCGTCCACACCCCAGGTAGTTTTTCAGTTAAGAACACGGACACAAAAAAAAAAAATAATAATAATAATAATAATAAAAACTCTCTCTTCGAGGCCATTGACCGCCGATCACCACCGCCAGTCCTCCAGCGGAGTAAATCCCCGGCACCAGCAACCCACGTGGCGGCGCACAGTAGCTTTTTAACCCCACCACACTTGATCCTCCTCCATCCACAACAAACTTGGCAGGAAAACGAAGCACATTCTGGGAATTCGATTCCATCCCGAAAAATGGATTATCCCATTCCTTGTTTTCCCAAACAAACCCATCAAAGTGTGGTAAGAATAACTATAGATAAAAACCACTATTGCTCTTCAAATGCCAATTTGTAATCTCTCTCTCCGCTGAATCCGATTCCGATTATTCGCCAGAGATTCCTCTTTCTCTCTCTCTCTTTAAACCCATCTCCAAACATGCCTATTTAAGTCCAAAGATGCGAATTCCCAAGGTTGTGATTCACCTTGGGAAGTGTAAACAGTACCACCCGACTACATTGCGAAGCAAACCAAGTACACATAACAACAATTAACCATATAATGAACAAAGTTAATGAAATTAACTCATCAAACTAACCATATGAAGACCACATTACTATTAAATATTACCTGAATAGAATTATTACCCATGCGGAAATGAGGTTGAGATTCACATTGGGGAGTATAATCAGCACCACCCTACACACAACGAAAAACCTTAATGAAAGTGGGTCATTACTAAATAAAAGCAATGTTTTAGTTTACTAATCTACTGTGTTTTAATCGTATGCAATTTGTCATGTCCAAACCTGAATAGATTGCATCCTTTTCTTCTTTGCAATAGCTTTTTCCATCCCGCCTTTGATCCTCCTTCTCCCCTTAGTAGTTGACTCTCTTTTCTTCAGTCCCTTAGCTTGGATTGGACAATCTACTTCATCACTCTGTGGAGATGCGTTGCTTGACGAATTTCTCAAATCAGTTACCTCCACTTGACCACAACTGTGGAGACTTAATTTGTCTTCAACCATTACACTCAATTCTTCACCTTTTGAAACTAACAACTGATAAGTTTCTTCACTTTCAGCGGCTCTACTCGCTATTGCTCTAAACATGGTCATTAATGACCGATATCGGTCACTTTGATGTAATTTCACATCAGCCGTCATTTCATACCCACGTCTATCTTTCACTCGTTCAGCCCTTGCTTTTTTAGTCCATCGTTTGAGTATATATTGTGGAGGAAGTTCCGTTGCATTGAATACATCTCTAAGCACCTTGACACAATGTCGACATAGTATGCCCTTCACTTCAAACTTCTTGCAACTACAACTCAAAGAACCCCCTCCATCCATTGTCACAATCTTATCTTTTTTTCCATCGACCATTGTTCTTATTGTGAATATGGTCCTCTCACCATCATGAATAGTGCCTATAATGGATGCTTCAATGGACTGCACATACTCACCACAACCACATCTTACCTCTTGTCTTGGATTTTTGACAAGTGGATCTCGTTTGTCAATACCCCGACTTCCCTCTTTGTAACATACAAACGTACGTGATGTTATCTCCTTCGTATGTTTGTTCTTGTTTGCATAGGCCTTCCTAATACTAAAACCCAACTTTCCCCCATACGTATTGTAAAATTCATATGCGGCTTGTTCAGAGTCAAATGGCATTCCCACTTTCGGCTTCCAACCACAATCATCAACAATATTACTTTCTTCCATTACCTACAATTCATATATATAAACCACATTTATATAAATAAACCACATTTACCTACAATACAAAAATCTAAATTTGAATTAACAGATTTTTCAGGAGCTAATCAGTTGCGTGCTAATTATAGAATGGATGGGGCTGGTGTAGATGACAAAACATCACTGTTTCAGAGTATGACCTTCAGTGATGGTGTTCAGGAACCATGTATTTGGTCATCTCCTGGAGGGATTCATAAAATCAATATAGGGAAACGGATATTCTGCAATAGATCTTTGAATATGACAAGTATTGTTGCGGTTGGTTTTGACATGGATTATACTTTGGCTCAATACAAACCTGAAACTTTTGAGTCTCTTGCATATGAAGGCACTATCAGAAAGCTGGTGTATGATTTGGGATACCCTCCAAAGGTTTGTCTGCATTTTCATTCATTCTGACTTAATTAAGTTCATGCATAGCCATGGTTTTGCATAAAAATTGTATGCACAACACACTTATCTTCATGCTCTGCATAAGTGATTTCAAATGAAACTTGTCGATTCTGATTTTTATCTAAAAATGCCATTATGCTAGACTGACATGTTAGTTTTAGTATAGATTTAAGGACATATAATGGGTACTTTCATTATTTGATTTGATTTTCACCTTATGTCTGTTATTCTATAAAATTTGCTTTTCTTTGTCAACCATGTTTTTTGTATTCATTTAAATAAGTTTGAACCTTATGCCATGATAGGTAATGGTCATACTCAAGTTCCTTTGGTATTTAGTTATCTGTTGTTCTGGCATGGACTTTTGATTGGAAGTACATGGTCAGAGGTTTGGTTCTTGATAAAAAGAGAGGCAACATATTGAAGGTAACTGTTGCTTAGTTGTCTCTCATGTACTTATTCTGTGGCTGGAACACACACAATTGCGCATGTGCGCGCGCGCGCACGCACACACACAGCGTCTTACTGAAAACTACTAGCTGATTCTGTCATTTTCATGTAAACTTTCTTAGTTGGAATTTTTTTTTCTTATTTTCTGTTCATTTATTAAAATACAGATGGATAGACACAAATATGTGAAAGTAGCATACCATGGCTTTAGGGAATTGTCAAAGGAAGATAAAGTTGCAACATATGGAAGTACTTTGATACGGGATGCATTTGATGAACCTGATTATGCACTCATTGATACCCTTTTTTCACTGGCTGAAGCCTACTTATTTGCTCAACTTGTTGATTTCAAGGATAATAATCCTGGGAAAATTCCCGGGGATGCAGGGTAAGAGCGTACCCCATTTTCAGACTTTATGTGCTTTGCAATCAGTACCGAGTTCATTCTCTCTCTCTCTCTCTCTGTGTCAATGCTTTAATAATAATGATAATAATAATACTTAATCAATTCTTTAATCCACTCTTGAATATATCTTTCATTATTGTTAGAGAAGTAAATTATAATTATTTAGTGCATTTGAGGGATCTCATAATGCATTCCCTAGATTGATCAATTTGTATTTTGGGATTTACATTTTACTGGAGAAGGAAGATATGAAAGAGGAAGAAACATAGTCAGACAGCAGGGGCACAAACACTTTAAGAATAAGCATGACATGATAGTTGAAAAAAATGCAGCAACTGATGAGAGAACGAGTTGCCAAATAAGTTTTAATGGCATAACAGTTGTCTTTTTCACCTAAGGATATTCTTTGCATCTTCTCCAAGGCACTAGTGGTACTCCAAAGATCTTCCCTGCTGTTGTTGACCAGTTACTAAATTTTCTTGGGGTTTGTGTAATTCATGTCATTTCTCTTCCAAATAATAGGTGTTTTTGTTCACTTATTTATTGTTGGTTGAACCTCAAGTTCCAATATTTGCTTTAGGGCTAGCAGTCTCACTTGCTGTTGGATTGGAAACCCACTCTATATTTCTAGTTGGTATATTTGATCTCTTGCAATATTACTGAACCTACCATAAAGTTTAATTTGTTCTTTACTTGCTTTAGGGTGCCTTCCCAAAGCCAGATTCTGTCTGATCTTTTAAAAGTAAGGAATTTTTGTTTTTTAAATGAGCTTGTGTGCTCTTTGCTTTAAGAACTAAAGCTTATGTACGGCCTATGTGTCATTTTTTCTTTTTTTTGTCCATTTACCATAACAAATTAATGGATTTAATGTAGGCATTGCTCTTGTCTTTGTCTTTCCCACCAACTTTTTCCCTGTCACTAGTGGTAACTTTTGATTCAAAACACCATATTCCATTTATGGAGAGATCCAATCATTAAAATTGATAAAATGGTTATCCTGGACCATATCCAAATAGAATGACTATTTATGTAAAGGAAAACATCACTTCTGGATCTTGGAAAATAAATAATGGCATTCTGCTCGTTTAGAATGACTATTTATCATGTTACAATTGCCTACAGGGATGTCCTGATTAGGGGGAACTGCCTTTCTTTAGTGCTTCAGTAAAAGCTTCAAAAATAAAACGTGCAAGTTCATTGTGGTTTTAGTTACAACTAAATTACACAAGTCCACTTATAAAGTTAAAAGAGTAACAATGAATATAACTTTCTCTTTTTGGAGATTCATTCGACTAAACTCTGTTAACTCTGGTATCTACTCCACAGATAGTTGAACAGATGTAGACGTTATCATTATGACATTGCTGTTACTAAAAGACTATGCTCTTGCTTTCTTCTTAGCTATGTTAATGTTATAAATATTTTTGCTTGCAGCTACTCTCGAATGTACAAAGATGTTAGAGCTGCAGTGGACTTGTGCCATCGTGATGGAACTTTGAAACAAATGGTTGCAAAAGATCCTAAACGGTATGTTATGTTGATGATTAGTAACTATTGCGGACAAGAAATCTAAGCCGTTCACCACAGGGTGGCTAATGGTTAATTTGACATGAAGCATGAATTGTTTGACTACATCATAGAGGGGTATTTGTGGTATATTCTTAAGCCTTTAAACCCCAACATTCTGTATATTTGTCTCTGTTTAGGGGTTCAACATTGGATTTTCTTATCCACCTTGTACTAAAACCTTGTCTCTAGTTTTGTTTGCTCTGTTGAACTTGTTTCAAGCACTTCCTAATTAGTTAGATGTTCATTGACATTCATTAGTGTAATGTTTCTCACCTGCTAAATAAGACTGGGTATTCTTTCTCTCCTTTGTTCTTTTTCAATGGTATATGCGACATACAACGAGAAAATGATTTGAATGTTACTTGGAACATTTTGTGCTTCATAACTACTTGAGGATAAGGTGGTAACCTTTTTTAGCCAACCAAATAGGACAATCCAGTTAATCACCCTGTGCTGAACAGTTTCATTATTATTAGTGGAAATTTAAACAAAATTGTATATCCTGGAATGTGGCTTTTGTGATTGATACATAAAAAGTCAATTATGATTAAAGGTCAATTGTCCTAATATACCTGATGCTGGTGTAGCCTTTAATCTACTAAATGGGCAAGGAATGCATTTGTTCAGGAAAAGTTCATTTGGTCATGCAATCCCCTACTGTTGTTTTATTGTTGATAATTGTAACATTTACAGTTAGAAATTTGTTCATCCAATAATATTGAATCCATAAGACGACAGCTAGTTGTGTGTGATTTATATTTCTTTCTTATTCATTAAAATTGAGTTTGGGTTTTTAGTGATTGATGTGGTTGATGGATGCTGATTGGTCATGTTAGATAGCTTAATATACATTGTTGGGCCCATTTCCTAATGATGTAGGCTTTTGGGAAAATTGGTAACTTAACGTGGTATCAGAGCTCTCTCGTTGAGAGAGGTCTTGGGTTCAAGTCTATCCATTAGCATACGGTATTCTGTCCCTGTTTGGTTTCTTCCTCGCTGTTTGGATGTTTACTTCTCCTTCTGTTTGGTTCTTTGTTTGTCTCTCCATGTGCAAGACGGGGTTGCACGTGAAGGAGGGTGTTAGATAGCTTGATATATATTGTTGGGCCCATTTCCTAACTGTTTAGATTTTTGGTAAAATTGGTAACTTAATAGGTCACTATTTTGAGGTCAGAAATATGGCCAACTTATTGAGCTTCAACTCATAGAAGGTTGTTAGGTGTAAAATATTTTGTTAGGCTTGGAGTTACTGTTAAAATATGTTAGTATTATATGTTAGTGATGCTAGTGGTATCATTATGTTTAGTTTGCTTTATGCTTTCGGTGCCTCAATTGGCACCCAATGTTGGCTTTCTCCTCTCTATAAAGAGAGTGTAAATCTCTTTGTAAACATACAACAATCTCAATCAATAATAATACATCAGTTGGGGCTCGAGCCACCACTCTTCTCGCCCAAGTGTATTCTAAGCACCAAAGCTTAACAAAAATGGCTTCCAAACAACTTTCAAAACTGGGGTCTTGCATGATTTGATCAAACACATAAAATAGTCTTAGAAAACTTCAATACAAGACCCTTAAAAACATATCTTTATTTAAAACTCATCAATTCTTGAAAGATTTAACAAAACTCCTTCATGCAAGATTTTTCAACTCTTTTCATGGTTTTTCATAACATGCAAATGGTGATCAACAAACTCATAAAATTTATGAAACAGTGGACATAATTTAAACTCACAGCATGCAAGGACTTTAAAACTCAAACTAAAATGATAAAACAAAGATGATCTACCATGAATACACATGAAAGTAATCTACATGTTCAAAGACCCATTTCTTGCACTCTCATAAATACTTAAAACTTGATGAAATCATGATGCATGGAGGAATAGCTAACAAAAATTAGACATGGAATCCTTACCCAAGGCTTTAATTTTCAGAAATGTGAGATGATTTTCCTAGTTTTCTTTTCTTCTTCAACTTTGAGCTCTCTCTCACTAAAGCCAAACTCTCTCTCTCTCTCTCTATCTCTACTCTCTCTTCTCTCTCTTCAAGCTTGAACTCTCTCAACACAAAGAACCAAATAAGCAAAAGGAATAATACAAACATTCCCTCACTTAGTTGAAATATACACAAACACACACCTCACTTCTTAAGCACAATACATGTGCACACACATGCAAAACTCTAACACAACACACACAAGGGTTTTAATCCCCTACACTCAACACAAAATGCCCAACTCAGATTTCTCAATACACCCCTACAGATTTCTCAGCACACACCCACTAAAGGATTTTAATCCTCTTATACCCAACATTACAAAATGCCTCAGCACATAATACATTTAATCAATCATTGGATATGAATAGAGTAGGTTAGGCATAAATCATGCATCGTCTTAAATTAAACATAAGTAACCTTCTTAATCAAGGTTAGCACATGACTCAATTAATCCAAAATAGTTCCAATTAAGGCTCAATTTAATCACATACGATTTTTACTTGAACTGAATCAATTTTTAACAAAAACTTCTCATATGGTTCCAAATATGCTAGTTAGATCAATCCATGAATTCAAATTCGGTTTCCTGAAAGCATTTAGGCTAACAATTTCAGATTCAAAGTAAAATCATGACAAATTAATTTTCAAATCGAGATAGATATGCACAAATTACTACAAAGCACATATCACAATTAATAATACACATAATTCATTCTAAAACTTAGTTAGCATTCTTAATTAGGAATTTAGTTATTTATGAATCGGGGTTGCTACACAGTCTCCCCACCTTAAGAAGTTTGGTCCTTCAAACTTGAGTTACCACAATATATATCAATGCCAGATCAGATGTCTTAGTTCACACTCTTTTTCCATTTCCGTAGTGGTTTCCTCCCCATTCTGCTTGTTACAGAGACTTGATTCGTTTCCCAGTCATTAAACAGTTCATTGGTCAGTTCAGTATTCTATTCGACAATCATACCAACAGTTATTCAAGTCATTCAGAAGTTATCAGGAATAGCAACGCAAAATTTGGTGCATTAACCCCATAGCAGTAAACGTAATTCCGAAGTAAAATCAATTCATATACTATTCATCAGCCTCAGTTTCCACAAAATTCAATTGTATCATGTTAAAATACAGAAGCAGTCATTCCATAGAACTATTGATTACATATACTTCCAGGTAGTCAGGTTTACAATCAAACTAGTCTGTTGTCAACAAGTTCCCATAGCATCAATTTCAAAGTACAGTAACACACAAAGTAATCATTCTCATTCAAACAAGTTCATGGTAGTAACGGTAATACCGAAGCAATTAACCACAATGTCATGCATAACAATTGTAGACACACTATTTTTGACCGTCTCAAGACTTGGACGCCATTGTTTGAACCACTCGATGAATCATCCAAGCTCGTGTTCGTTTTGAGTTCTCGGAGGTCTCAACAGCGCGCCTTGGCCTCAATAGATCTCTCAACTTGACTGTTTTGTGCTTGGTTGTGGACGCAAGCCTTGTGTTTTTGCTCTTAAAGGAAGAGGGTGGCTTGTTGGCCATCCCCTCAACCCATCGACCAAGGTATGAACCATCGCGCCAAAAGTGGTTGGCTGATCGGCACTCTTTTTGGTCGGTCGGCTCCTTATGTTGGTCGATCGGCCATGTTTTCGGCCGAACCCTGTTCATCTGCTTTATGCAAATATTTTATGCCAGCCTGTCACAGCTGGCATGTACAATTCACGCCCCTTCATACCGTGTATGAAGGGATTTGCCCCTTTGCTTAGCTTACTCAAGAAGCTTTGCTTTTGGTTCTCTATAAGAGAGAACCATCTCCTCCCTCCTCAATGGGTTCAGAAAATTTAGGGTTGAGTGACACATATACTTTTGTATCTATATTTCCTTTTGTTTGATATTGTTTTGTACTAAAAAATGTAGTATTGTCCTTACTATTGTACACAAACACACACTAGAACACTATCCTCTTTGGAGCTAAGGTCCCTTGAGTTGATTTCAGAGTTTGGGTTTGGTTTGAGCTTGGAAAAGTTGCTGGAGCCTTGTTTTTGAGAGTGTTTTCAAGGGTGAGCAATTCTTGCTTTTAAAATCCCTTTCTTGCTTAAGCTTTTAGACCTTCTTGTTTATTGTTTTAAGATTAAGGCCAAGTTTGGGAAAACTTGTAAAAAAGCCAAAAAGCCAAAAAAGTTACTCAAAAAAGTTAAAAAAGTTAACCACTATTCACCAAAAGTCAACAATTACGGCTGCACAACTCCCAATTCGAATTTTTCCCTACAAATCAATTTTTACAATTTTTTATTAACATATTTTCCATAAAAAGTCAAAAAGTTAACCCAAATATCCATATTTTCAACCTCAATTTTTTAGTCCAAAAAGACAAAAAGTACACTTATTTAGGACCACCCCAAACAACCCCTAACTCTAAACTACAATAAGTTTTGATTTTTGATGCCTTTAAT